ATACCGTTTCGGGTGAATGAGGCTTCATTACTAAACAATATTATCCGACAAATCCTTTGATTTCTCAATATCCAGCGACTAAATTCAAGTCTTGCAGCGTAGTCGGCAGATTTTAAAGCTTGTACAGGTAATATGTGGTACGGGTACAAACCGAAATTGTGTAAAGTTCTCCATACTTTCATCCGGCTTACGTTAAGTGTGTTGGCTATTCTTAGGACACTAGTTAGAAGGTTGAGCGTCAATCATATTAAGTATTACTTCTTCTTGAGCAAGTTCCTGTTGAACGGGACGTTCAGAAATAGCTGCGGGAAACATGCCTGTTTCTCTTAAACATCGATGGATATTGCTAAAAACAGTTCTACATGTTTTACCTACACCTTTAAGAGTATTTTAATGTAACACATAAAAATAAACACGCAAAATTAATTTAATTGACGTTTACTGTCACAATAAATAACAAATTATCATTCACAGCCACACTTTTAATAATAACAAAAAAACAGCTTGTAGCTCGGTTACGATAGCGTTTTGAGTGTATGTTCATTAGACATTTTTGATTTGAAATCACCCCAACAACACACTCCCAAGCTATGGCAGTCACGTCGTGGGACACCTGCATATTATACATTAGGCTTGCCGAACATGCTAGAACAAGGGCATCACTAGAAAGAAGAATGAGATTGACATAGCAGAAAAAAGATGTAATGGAAGCGTCAAGTTCTAAAAAAGATCATATGGCCCAAGAACGACGATTTAAGTTAAAAATAAATAGTGTTATTTCAGTGTGAAGTGTACTCAAAAACTTTAAACACGTTTTACTCGAAACAGTATTTTTAAAATCGGTATCAGAAATATCTCCGCAACTACTAGACCGTTTGGGATTAAGTTTTGCAGTTATGCTTCACACAATAATCTGGTACTTATCGAATCGTTTTTTCGATGCCCGTTATTTCCGTAGCTGCAATGACCTGAAAAAATTAAATTTACAATTCTTGGCTCGATAAGTACCACTTTTATGTATCTACTTAAAAATACAATTGTTTTGGTTTAAATGAAAAATAATGGGGGCACGTCTGGCACCGCAAACGCTGCCAATGAAAATATATCGTATATCGTAGACGTATTCATATTAATAGACGTATTAATGTATATCATATAACCTCTAAAACAACCAGCAAACACATAGAGAACTCAATGACAGTTAACTGGGCGTGGCAAATAGTGTGACGTAGAGCGCGGGCAACCAACCCGTAGTAGGCTACAAAACAGCAATGGATGTAGAAGTCCTGTTAGATTCTACTGTCCTTGATTATTATTATATTATTTTTATTATTTCTTAGAAATAGAAAAAGCCCTTCAATAAGCTCCTGTTCCGTGTCATTTATTCCCATTAAATTCATTCTCTACACTAGAACACACTTTTCAAAAATGAATTAAATGAAATACAAAACACGAAATTTAAAAATTATATAAGAAAGTTAATAAGTATAAAATTTTAAAACCTACGTTAAATATATAAACAATAATGTCTTTAGAAAAAAAGAGACGTTTCATTAACATTGGATTTATCTTGAGACCGCCAATTATTGGATAAAAGGTTTTTTTAAAGATAATTTTTAGAGATGGTCTATATTAACAAAGAAATAAAATCCGTCAACTTTAGAACTGATATCGATAATTTAAGCTCAATTTATAGGGTCTCGAGATAAATCCAATGTTAATGAAACGTTTTTTTTTTTTCTAAAGACATATTATTGTTTATAAATTTAACGTAAGTTTTAAAATTTTATACTTATTAACTTTCTCATATAATTTTTAAATTTCGTGTTTTGTATTTCATTTAATTCATTTTTGAAAATTGTTGTGCAGCGCCTCTGTTGGGTGACTGGTGTAAATGTTCAAGTCAAGTTTTTGCGGTTTTTATTTTTCACCGATTTAGTTGTAACGTTTGACTTCTTCAAAGTCACAGCCATTTTGGTTTATAAAAGATTTTAACGTGTTCGGTTTACTTTGGAGTTAAAGTTGATTCTTTGTCAGGGTTATATAATTTTTTGGGGTCTACCGAGTTGGAGGTGACAGTCATAATTGGGTGAAAGAGGATAAAGAGAGACTAACAGGATCGACCTCTAATAATCGCGTCATTTCCCCATTTGAATTTCCCTCCTGGGAAATCTGATACATCATCAAATATTCCACAGATTTAGAACATTGCTAGAATTTCGTTAACAAATGTATTTTCGTCGATTACATATACGGGGGCTTTGGTAGAACACTTCATTGGGGTCATAGCAACCCTGAATGCAGTGAAAAGTACAACTTGTTTTGAATAACATATTCTATTAATTAATTTAATTACTTAGGATTAATTAAAGATATTTCTATAATTACAAACTTTTGTTTATAATAATAATAATATTTATTGCATCAAAAACAAATATTTACATAAATATATACATTCATAACAAATCTAGACATCAAAGCAAACGGATCAATTTATCGCAATAAGCGATATCTTCTAAGAGACCTAACTGGTAACAGTGTATATGTAATTTTAAATAAATAATTATGGCTACCAAAAATATAATACTAAATGATGTGCTAATATGACTGAGCAAATGTGCATATTTGAGTTATGTAACGAATCGACAGCCAGTTACTACAAGGAAGGAAATAGACACAAAAAAAAGTGCAGTAAAAGATAAATGAAAGGCAGACTAGAGAAGAAAACAAACACGTATAAGGTCAAGAAGAAGATAGTTGAAGAGATAGCCGATGGTGCCTCAACGCATTTTTAAAACTTATTAAACTAGCTGCATTGCGAACAACGGCAGGCAAATCGTTCCACAACGCAATCGACCGCACTGTAAAAGTTCTGTGGTAGATTTCAGTACTATGGACTGGAAACATGAATGAAGAGTCCGACATTGATCGAGTGGGCAAGTCATGTCATGCTTAAAAGTGAAAGGCGTCAGACAAATAAGCAGGGGTGCGGGTATGGACAATTTTGTACAACATAGTAAGCATACGAAGTGATCTACGACTCTGGCAAGTCATCATCTGCAGGTTGTTACGATATGGAGTAATGTGCTGAATCTTTCCTAAATCAAAAATCTACCGTATACAATTGTTCTGTTGAAGTCTCTCCAATTTACCCGAAAGGCTGCGTATAGATCTGGATACGCAGCATCGGCATAATCAATGTGTGGGAAAATGAGAGAATAACAAAGATTACGACGTACAACAGGAGGAAGGTAGCAGCGAAGTTTTTTCAAAGTATGGAAACAGAAGTAAAGCCTCTTACAGGCTCCCTGAACTTGTGGCCGCCAAGACATCGCCGAATCCATTACCACACCAAGATTTTTAACCGTATTAGAAAACGGAATAACGGTGTCGCCAAGCCTCAGTTGAAGGGTAGTTAAGGAATTAAGTTGTGCCAGCAAGGGGCGAGTGCCAAATGTAATGGCTTGCGTTTTACCTGGATTCAGGTTAAGTCCATGACGTCTAGACCAGCCAAGCACGCTAGAGAGACCGTTGTTAAGATGCAATAACGCATCTGGGAGGTTGTTAACAGTTGTGGCGAACATCTGGACGCCAGAGACCTTTCTAAACCGTTCAAAAAAATCTCTCTCCGGTCATCTGGGCAGGACACCCTTTTGGTCCAGGCAAAGGGTTCCCGGAAAGCTTTCACCGAAGATGTTACTGGACGCTCTCTGTGGCGAACATCTGGACGCCAGAAAGCGTTCGAAACTATTCGGAAGAACTCTCTCCGTACATCTGGACAGCAGATCCTTTTGGTCCAGACAAGGACTCGAAGAAAACTTTCACCGAGGATGTTACTGGACTCGGGGATAAAAGGAACCAGGATCGGCCCGGAGAGTCAGTTATCAGTTACCATCGGCAGATCAGTCAGCAGTTACCCTTTTCGCGTCCGCACTTTTACTATTGTTATTATTGTTGTAAATAAAATTTTGTCGTTGAAGACATTGGTTTTCCTAAAACTCCCTCTCGCTACTATCAAAGCATTAGCCCCGCAACAGTTAACGAAATATAAAGTTGAAGGTCATCTGCATACAAATGATAGTTACACGAGATACCATCATTAATACTATTTATGAAAATTGAGAAGAGCAAAGGACCCAGCACATTGCCCTGGGAACTTCACATTTGATGTTAACAGAAGAAGAGAGTACAGATTCCACACGGGCACGTAAAGACCGATAAGAAAGGTAGGACTGGAACCAAGATACACAAGAAGAGGTAAAACCGATAGCAGAAAGCCTAGTTAACCGTTTATGTAATATTACGGTTTTCAAATCAATAAATGATTATTATTAGTATTACTATTAAATGAGACAATTGCAACCTCGTGTCAATTAATTTACTACGACTTATAAAACAAATTTTCTTCTGAAATATTCAGCAAAATGTTCTGTTTTTATGTATTTTTATGTAAAGTAATCCATTAAAAATAATATATAAGTCTAATATATAATAATATATAAGTCTCATACAAAATTTTTTAAAGTTCCGCTTACCTTAATGTTAATGCAAACTTTTTCTGCGCAGAAATTAGAATTTTCGCATTAATTTGAACTGTTTAGTTAAATCTTTTGTGGATTACATTTTGCACAAAATTAAATTGATCTTTGTTGATAGATAGCTTTTTATAAGTATTGGATATCCTTCTGGGTTCTAAGTAGTAACTTTGTTTTTTAGTAACAAATTATAAAATGTACGTCAATTTTATGGTTAAAATTGTCAACGTTAATTTGTAAGGAATTGTCATCACGAGTATGTTTGAGTACTATGTAATCTGACGGAGATAAATTTAATTTCCTCTTCATCTCTTAAGCTCACCCATTAGCTGGTTCAAAGTTACCTGAATAATCACGCTGAGATTTGAACAGTATGTAGATGAGATAAGTTCCGAAGTGCACAACTGTTTTATTTGACTCTAACTACACAAACAAAATACCCGTGAAATTAATCAAGTATTTTAATTTAAGGTATCATTTTATTATGATTGTTTTCTTGGACGAAACATTCCGAGTAGAAAACCGCCGACAAAAGAAATAGTAAACGATCTTCGATTATGTTCCAGTTCGAAGGCTCGACCCATAAAAGCATCGACTTCATCGATACAATAATTGGTGGCATTGAAAATCGGTTCAACGAAGTGTTTGGTGACGTTCCATTTAAATCCTAGCGCTATGATTAACTCGGAAAGAATTAGAAAGATTCCGATCGCTGTACAAACTGGAGACGATAATATTCTTATGTTCTCGCCGGTTATAAAGCCAAAAGTTATTCCCGTTATAATTGCAATTATTGAAGGATAATTTAAAGAGGTATCATTTTCAATCATTTTTCAAAACATATTGTTTGTTTTCACTTCTAAAATGTTTGACGTTTAATATTGATGCATATCAAATATAAATTGGATTTTTGAAACATCGATAATGAGGAAAATTTTTATAAATGGAACGTGAAGATGACTTTCTTGAGATGTGAGATAGTGTGTGCGATTTGTAATCACGAAGTTTCTGGAAAGTTCTGAAGTTCTTTGGTAAAATGTTTAAACCGGCGAAGGATAATGGGATAAAATTCCCCCCATTTCGAACGATGGATGATTTTGTGCTGGGTTCAGCTCGATTTCAGATGCCAAATTTTAAAGATATCGATAAATGGGGTTACAGAGTAAAGAATAATTTGCTATATTATCAATCCAATTATTTTATTATGTCATTTTTGATATTCGCCGCAATTACGTAATATTAAAATGTTATTTTATGTTGAAATTCAATTAAATTAACTTTAATTATCATGAATAGAGCTGTGCGTCCAGTTAAAATGGTATGCGGTTTTGGTATTATCAGCATTTTTATTTTAATATTGTGGTATATTACCAATGAAAACTCGAGGATGATTCGTTTTAAACAGAATAACCCTATTGTGGCAACATTGTTAATTTTAGGTGGAATTTATCTCGTCATAAATAAATTCGACTGTATGGTGATGTTGTTTATCGGTATTATATCCCCAATTTTAGGTAAAATCAAATTTATAATTAACTTTTATTTTCTTATTTTACTATTTTTATTTAGCAATATTAATTCATTCTTCTATACGGTTGAGAAGTGTAAAAAATAAATTGGTGAACCAAGCAGAAAATTGTAAGCTTATACAAACTCCGATGGGATTTTTTCTTAAAGAATTAGAACTTTGCACAGATCTGTTTTAGTTGGAAGTGTAAAACCCGACAATTAATAATTACTAAAGAGTGAACTTTATTATACTTCATTTTCTCACATAAAAAATTTTACTTTGTATCACTTTTTCTTCTGAAATAAGTTACAATAGAAAAAGTTAAGCTTTACTAACTATAGCAGGTAAGTACTACATTGCTTAAATATTAATTAGCGTTTATGTTGCAATTATTATTATGAATTATAAAATGGAGACGCGCTTAGTCGATTTTCGATGACGTGAAACTTTTTCATTGATAACTATTGTAAAGTAATAAAGGTTCAAAGGAAAGCAAGAATGCATAAGTAACTAAATCTTTAATAATAATAATAGTATTTATTGCCTCAAAAACATATATTTACATAAATATATACATTCATAACAAATATAGACATCAAGGCAAAAGGATCAATTTGTCGCAATAAGCGATATCTTCCAAGAGACCCTACTGGTAACAGAGTATATGTAATTTTAAATAAATAATTATAGCTACCAAAAAAGTAATACTAAATGATGTGCTAATAAAACTAAGCGAATGAGCATATTTGAATTATGTAACGAATCGACAGTCAGTTACTACAAGGAAGAAAATAGACACAAAAAAAAGTGCAGTAAAAGATCAAGGTCAAGAAGAAGATAGTTGAAGAGACTTACCTGGATTCTGGTTAAGGCTATGACGTCTAGACCAGTCAAGTACACTAGAGAGATCGTTGTTAAGATGCAACAACGCATCTGGGAGGTTGTTAACAGTTGACAAAATATAAAGTTGAAGGTCATCTGCATACAAATGATAGTTACACGAGATGCCATCACTAATACTACTTATGAAAATTAAGAAAAGCAAAAGACCCAGCACACTGCCCTGGGGAACTCCACATTTGATGTCAACAGGAGAAGAGAGTACAGATTCCACGCGGACACGTAAAGACCGATAGGAAAGGTAGGACTGGAACCAAGATGCACAAGAAAAAATAAAACCAATAGCATGGTCCACAGAATCAAAGGCCTTACTAAAATCAAGTAACACTAGCAAGGTAACACAACGCTTCTCACAAGCACATTTAAAATCATCGGTGATCTTAATCAGTGCTGTAGTAGTGTCATGCCCTTCACGAAAACCAGACTGGAATTTGTTAATCAGATTAAATTCCTCAAGATATTTCTGAATCTGTAAATAAGCTAAATGTTCAATAGCTTTTGACAACGTAGATAGAATAGAAATATTTTTGGAGACTTCGGAGATTTAATTTTTGGGATAGGAATAACATGGGCGATTCGCGAGATTGACGGAAATATAGACTGTTCAAAAGAACAGTTGAAAATATGTGTTAGGGGAGTAATAACTATATCCAGATTGGGTAAGAGGAATCTGAGTCCAATACCATCTGCTCCGATACTAGTGGACTTGAAGTAAATTAAAGCATCCTGGATCTCAGCATCTTTACTTATGTACTTTCGTGGATAAGAGAAAAATGTTCAAAGGTCAGCAGTATAAGATAATACAACACCATACTCCACATGAAGATCAGGGAAACGAAGGAAGAATATTACAAACAAAAATGGATTGTGCGTTTTGGTTCGATTACGTGGTCTCCTCATTCTCTGGGCATAAATACCATTAATTGTTTTATTAGGATTGCATAAAAGAAACAGTGTACTAAAAACCGATTGAAAATCTTGCCGAACTGCGCCACAATATTTGTTCAGCACCAGAAGAAATAAATTTAAAGAGATTTGCACAACTAGTAAAAAGGTCTTTTCTGCGACGATGCAGACCTTGTATTAGTGCCGACGACAAACAATTTGAGCATTTGCTTTAGTTTTAAAAAAATAATGCTATAAAATTAGTAATAATTTAATAATTCCTTTTGTTTAATTTTGTCTTTAGGTTAACCTTATTTGAAACAGTTCTTTTGCAAGACATAAGGGCAGGGTAAAAAGAAGTTACAAGTTAAACAACAAAAGTCGTGAGTTTAGAAAAAAAAATATTAGTTTGATTGAGTTACGGTTGATAGAATTTATAAATAAAAGAAATTAATCGATTGTAATTGATAATAATATTAAATAATTATTCGTGACACGATCTTTTTTATAAAAAGAAACAATTTTATTTCATACTAATATTTCGATCGTTTTTTTCGATCTTCATCAGAGTATAACTAAAATACAAAAGCAACTAAAAATAACAATCTTACAATAAAAGTTAATTACTTACAAATTATGTTTCTTAAGGAAATAACAAAATGAAACCATAAAACGTTTATAACAATAATTGGAGATGTAAAAAGTTTATGAAAAATAAACGTGAAAAGTGACAACTATATTGAAATAAACAAATCAGTACTCGTCAATCATATTACGTCACAAATAAAATTCATTTATTTTTATTATTTTTATTTTTATCTATTTGAATTTATTTTTATCTATTTGAAAAAGATATGAATAAATGTTACTCAAATTTACTGTATCTAACTTGAAATTTACAATATTATTTTCAGCGTTAATATGAAATACTTCAAGGAATAATCTATTATGATAATTTGATTCCTTATCCAAAATTATTGTGTTTTCAAAAATAATCAAAAAGATGGTTATAGTCAACAGCGTGTTTTGAGAGAGCACATGATGTTTTTTTCAATTTAGTGTTACTTTTGTGTTTATTAACTCTACTTTTTAACCATTGTTAGTTTGTCCAATGTATTTACCATTACAATCTTTACAAGTAATGCAATATATAAGTTCCGATTCTAAGAATTTTTCTGTTTTATCTTTTAAAGTTGAGAAATATTTATTTAATTTTTTTGGGTATATATTAATGAATGTTAAATTATCTCGTTTTAAATGTATTCGAATAGAGTGTCAACGAATAAAGTTTAACATTTTACGTTTAATTTGTGACTTCTATAGTAGCATGGTTCATAAGGAATTCATTATTAAAAAATCACTATTAAATTGCCTAAAGTTTACCTAAAGATACGATGAACAGGTATGAGTCCGCCTCTCACCCGGTGCCCGCTATACGTTGAGTTTCAGGACATTCTGTATAGAAAACTAAATACAGTGAACGGTGAACATAACGGTTCTCTTGAGGTACCTGGAATTTCTTCCCTAACCTTCTTCATCGGACCTAAAACAAACGGAAAATATATTACAAAATGTTCACTAATTAATAATGACATCGGAAGTGGAATTGGGAAGGACAGTCGGACTCCTGGATCGTCAGACGAGAAACAGCCGTGGCCGCTTGTGGCGAAGGTGTTCAACATCGTAATCCGTTAACCCCGCTAAGAGGGGATTGGGGTGGTTTGCGAGCCGCGTAAACTCGGCACTGGCCTTGTCACGAATGAACTCCTCGATGGTCGCCATCTGGGAATAATTATGCACTACTGATAAACCAAGGTGCATTAAATGTCATCCTTAGGACCTTGTTCTGAACAACTTGGAGTTTTTGCACGCGCAAATGCGCGACGTAACCCCAGACGGAAGAGGCGTACATCATCGTGGTCTGATAACCGCTTTGTAGAGTCGAATCTTCCGTAGAGGATCCAATTTACTTCGGCGATTTATCAGAGCGTACAAATTGACCAGAGCTGTTTTCGTCCGGTTCGCCATCGACTCGATGTGACTTTTCCAAGTTAGTTTAGAGTCCAGAATGACACCCAAATACTTGGCTTCAGAACGCCAGGGGAGCTCGTCACCTTGCAGTACCATCGCATCGGGGGGGTCGATGGTAGATGCACACATCGTCGGCGTACATCCCTAACTGAGTGCCCTCAGAACGGGGTAGGTCGCTCACAAAGATACAAAAGAGGTCCCGATCCCGATACCTTGTTCAACTTACATCTCGCGATTGCCTCTTTCACTTCGGTTGGGGAAGTATGCTCGATATGCCGAACATCTTCTACAGCTAGTCGCCTGCCCATCACGCGCTCTACTCGATCGATGAAATCTTCATCTTCGTCATCGTCGCATAGAGGGCTGCACTGACGTACTAAACACAGTATTCAACGACACATAATTTATATTCCGTAACGGCCTAGAAATAAGGAAAGCACGGTTTACAGTAAATGTCATACCACAAAGATGCCTACCTATTTAGGCTACCTATTAAACCAGGACCTATACGCATGCTTTATAGACTATAACAAAGTAAGAAACAGATAAATATTATAATCTAGAAACATATATTAAAGTAATGGAGTCTACTATCCGTGCCAAAAGTCAAGCCGCCTCAGTTTAAAAATCGGCAACTTCGTCCATTTTTTTTCTTAAATCTATCTCATATTCAGTGATTACAACAAATTTTACTGCAATCTTTTTCATACAGCGGTGGTGAAGTTATTGACCTCTAAACTGAGGGGCCGTGACTTTTGACACGGATAGTAGTGTTGAAATAAAATTATTAGATATTAAGGTAACATCCAAATCTGCTAACATCCTCATATTGTTTTGGAAAAGTGGATGTGAGGGAAGTTCACCAATCCAGATCAAAAGTAGTAAACAAAAGTTGAATTCTTGTGTTTCTGACGACACCTTATTTAGCATGTCATTTGTACCATTATATTTAACCCATTAAGGACGAAGCTTTTTTTGTACGGTGTGTTAATTAATATTATCGTACCCGACGTCATCATCATAATTATGCAATATTATGCAAGTATGCAACCAATATCACAAATCGCCAACCAATAACACGCAAATCGAGTATTGCAATAAAAATACTGTGCTATTGGTTGCATACTTATAATGATGACGTCGGGGACGATAATTAATTAACACACTGTATTCTGTGTTCATACTTACATAATTTACTGTAAAAAAGTCATGAATGATTTTATGTTTATCAAATTATTTTTACTGTTACTTTCGTCAAAAACGACTGTTGCATCTTGGCAACGCTGGTCTCTGGACTTACCTAATAGTATAAAAAATAATTACCAGTTAATTTAGAATTTATTGTTTATTTAACATTTATATACAGGTTCAGTTTTTTTCCATGATTACTATAGAGATCTCGAAAGCTAGCGGAGTTAGAGAGATGATTAAATAGTGAAAGACTTGCAGTTTCGAGAATTCAATTTAA